CGCTCTCAGCTACATTAATCAAGCGGTCTAGCTTGCACTCTGTCTGCGCAACAGATAACAACTGTTTTCGTTGTAAAAACTGTTTCTCTTTCTCCTGAACTTCCTCAACACATTTTTCTTTCTTTCTCTCAAATTTTCCTCGCAACCGGGACACCTGCTCCACCGCCCCGTCAGCTACACTGCTCATTCTCACAAACTGAGCACCGAGCCGTCCATTCAACAAGCAGGCGGTCCTCACATTCTTGTTTACTCCATTGAGCCTGTAATTGCATTTTCTGATTTTATGCTGAAGTCCTGTCATTGGTGCCATTTTTCTGACCTCTATTGCCTGCAAAAGTGGTCAAAACATCACTCGGACTATCTGCTTTCAGAAAAATTGTTCTAACAACTAAGATGAGCTTCTTCACACCTTTTCAAAAACAACAAAAACGACTGGGATGGGACTTCTTCCCATCCCGGTACAACTTTTTCTCTGTTCAGCTCACGCCTCCTCAGGCGTCTGAATAAACTTTTTTTCTCTGTTTTAAACTCTCACACAAAGGCTCGGGCGTCCCCTCCACCTCTTAAACACAAAGCCAGGGTTGGATAACTCTTCCAACCCGGCACAACTATGCAACTCGCATCAACATTTCTCTCAACACTCTTTTTTTTTTTCCTTCGTTTGAATATGGTGCAGCAGTTCAGAATTATTTATTTAAATTCTTAACATCCCATCCTCGTCGCCAAAAATGTATTATGAAATTCTTTATCAAAAGGGCTCGTGAACGGTCGGCACATATTCAGACAAGATGGAAAAAATGAAACACCAGAGGCTGTCACTGCTAGGAGTAATAAGTGTCATTTATTAACCTGCCACAGAAAACAGCAAAGCAAAAGAGTCATGTACACTTGTACACTCTTAACACACAGATTGATATGAAAGAACTTCTCACCGTGACACTGGCCGGGAAGTCGTTTTCGACCCAGGTAAAGAAGAATCACATCAAAATGGCGTATGGCACCAGCGCGCGTGCTGATCCATCACAGGACTTCCGAAGATTAAGTTGCCTGTCACACTTCCTTTATACCATTTCCCTGACCGGATCGCGTGAGAGCATTCAAAACAAGTTTGATGGTTGCCAAGAGGGCAGATTTAATTAAATCTGTTTTTCCTTCATCAAAGCAGTCTGTGCAACAGAGCGATGGTTTCATCAAAACCTGGGTCACTGTAACCTGAAGATTGGGCCCGATCTTCTGGCTAGAGCATCCCCAGAGAACTTTAATTACTCCAAAACACATCTGCAGCACAGGAATGACTAAATAAGCAGATAAGCTGCATCAAAAGTGAGTATAAGTGTGTTTAAATAAGTGTAATATAGGTATAGATTGACATAAAAGCATTAAAATAATCATTTCTATATCACTTTTGTTAACCTTATGTTTAGTTATTGGCTATTTTAAATTAATTCTTCAGCTTAACTGTTTGCGTTTAGTAGTTTGTTAAATTTGTGAGTGGATGTTTCCCTTCCCTCTTCCCAAGTGTGTTTGTCTGGTCTGATCAGCCAGATATTTAAGTCCCTTTTGTTTGCTGTGTGGCAGGTCAGTTTATTTTTGTCTTGAGCAGTTAGTTTGAGAGTTAAGTTAACTCTTGATTTTGGCTTAAGTCTGTTTTTTTTTCACTTGACCTCTTTTAAGGGCCCTGTAACAAATTTAGTTTGAATTTTGTTATTTTTGAGAATAAAACCCATTCTTTTTGAAAATTTACTACTGTGTCCTCATGCTTGACTGGCTCGGTCTCTCACACTCCGTCTTTGGTTTTATAAGTCTGTGTACATTTCCTGTCATTAAGTGACCTTGTACTAGATGGCTGCTAAAGTTATCAGTTTTTAATCTTAATCATCTGTAAAGTAACCCATATCAGTTATACATTAACAAACATACACTGTCATTCATACAGCAGACACTCACTCACTCCAACATCATTTATGCAACAAATATACATGGCATTTACAATGTTATATTTCCCTATTCCTGCCTAACCAAGGTTTTTGTCTGTCTTTCAACTTATAAAAACATATTTCCCTCACTGCCTATTCTAAAAAGCTATCTATCCCTGTCTTTAACCATAACTCCATATGGTCTTCTGCAAAACCCTAATCCAGCAAAAGCATTTTACTCTCTTTTGACCATGAAAATAATCCCTATCTGTCCCTCTCTGCCTGTTCTAAAGATTTCTAATTATCTCTATGTTAACCATAGCAACACTCCATGTATTCTTCTTTAGGTACCACTTCTAGATTCTTTCTAGGGATCATCCAGATTTAGGTGTATTTTAAGGATTCTGCCATACCAGAAGCACAGCCCCGATAGAAAGTAGAAAAGAATTTAAAAAATATATAAAAATAATAATAAATGCGTCGCTCGGGGATGCACTGCTGACCAGTCTGTTTTCCTGTGCTACAGACCTAAGGAGGCTATAATAAACAGAAACCCAAGGTCATCACTTTCTTTTGAGGAGTTAGCAATTTCTCCACACAGGCATCCAAAAACCAAGTAGCATTTTCTTCAAACTGTCACATGACCCACATCTTGACACTGTCCAGATGTCCAAGTTTTAATGCGTTTCTAGTAAACAGCGACGGGTAATTACACTCGGGACGTCTTTCAGACTGGGCACGCTTCTCGTAAAGATTCTACCATCAGCAAAAATTACGTCACAATTTTTACGTGGGTCTTTAAACCATCAACCACGTCGGATCTTCCTAATTTCACTGATAAACAAACAATAATTTATATACGGGTATTTAAGTCAACTGGACGAAGCTTAATTTTAGTGCAAAATTAATGTTTTGCGTGTTTATAACGCTCGCGGACCACTTCCGGTTAGTATTGTTGCTAACGCTTCCGGCTCGGAATCTGCTCAGACTTGGTCACCTGCTGCTGTGTCACCATTAAACAATAAGAAACGAGCTACCACTTCTAAAGACGGGAAACCGGGTTTCACGGCACCAACTGTTAACGACGGGAGCTGGCTGCGGGTCACCGGACCCGGAAACCCCCTCCAGCCTATGTCTCTCCCCCCGGCTTGAATCTCCCTCAGAAGTGGCAACTCTCATTATCAATAAATCAAAGAAACGTCGGTTAAGTTTTACCAATTGTATTAAAATCAATGCAGGAAAAGGTTACAGTTTACAGCGCTGGTCTCTCTGGTCTGTGACGCGTTCACAAACCTGGAAGAGCCCCGATGTCCCGTGTCATTACTCATTTATAGGGTCTAGACTCCTCTTTCACAGAAGGGAAGCTCAACCTGTCAGTGTATGAGGGGGCGTGGCTAAGTGTGATCTCAATGGATCTTATGTGGTTCTGATGTGTTAGGAAATATGAGACGGTGCTTCAAAAAGCCTTTCTATGTGATGTGGCAGATTAAACTCTATTCCTTGACAAATATGAAATCCCAGGGAGAGACTTTTTAGAGATGCTAGCCCAGTTTAACCCAGTCAGAACCAGGTCATAATTTCATTATAATCCCGTCTCTGAGCAGATCAAAACCCCAGGATCAGTCTAGATAAAAATATCTAACACGACTCTCTGTAGTGTTCTTTTTTATACCCAGGCCTTACATTAACCGGTTGATAAATACCCTCAGTATTTGCAAAATATTCCTCAAGCTGTTTCTTATGTACTTACCTCTACATTTATAGCCTTTTGTTTTCCCTTTTCCAATAGTTTAGAGATGTGTTACATCCTTCAAATTCAGTTACCCTTTTTTCAAAAAATTGTGTAGTTTCATAGTTTCAACATTTGATACGCTTACTATTTTCCATAAATAAATGTGGGTTTATGAGATTTGCAAATCATTGCATACTGTAATTATGTATATTTTTACACACCTTCTTAAATGTCTGATTTTAAAAACGTAAGGATATTTGTCTTCTTTCACCCAGTCTCCAATGCTATGCCCTTCAATGGGGCACTTAAGGTTTTTTATTTCCAACGTCCCCCCAGAATAAAGAGAGTCCACAGCCAAGCTTCCCCAGACTTTAGTTACCTTTTAGCTAAAAATATTCTCTCAAAATATTCTGTTGGAAATGGAAGTAAAGATTTTGTTGGACATGTCTTATCTCCTACTTAAAATACTGTAGAAACTTAAAAAAATATTTGTAACCATCAAAGTTTTCTGCAGAATCTGACTGGTAATTTTTGCGTGGCGATCGTTTGTTTGAGGCGTACTTTTCAGACTGTGTTTCTGTCTGCCTCTCAAGCACCTGGCAGTCACAATGTGGGGACCCTAATGAGCCACTAGGATCAACTTAAACTTTCTTGGTTTTCATTCTTCTTCTTTACAATTCAGACTTCAAAATGTAGGCATATTTTGATTTGTTGGAATTTTGAGCAAATGCTACATTAGCACTCTTTAACATTTCTGCACCTATTTTCTGGTTCTCTTGTGTCATTTTCACTTTTTCTTTAGTTTTGAACAGGAGGTTCTTGGTGGTCCAGTCCAGGTGGCAGGAGGTCAACCTGTAATGGAGCCAGTACCTGTAGCTTTGGCTGTTCCTTTAGTGCGACCAATTATTGGGACAAACACCTACAGACAGGTTTGCATCTTCTGGATTTTTCCCCCTGAGAACATATGAACTACCAAATGTTATATAATTTAGCAGTTCAAGCTAAATAAAAACAATGTCCTTGACATAAAAATATCTAATTTTGTTCCTTTTCCATCTTATTCCACATTCTCTTAGGTCCAGCAAACATTAGAGGCCAGAGCAGCTAGTTTTGTTGGCTCTCCACCACCAGCCTTTGTGGAGCCAGGTAATATAATTTGTGATCATGCTATAAGTAGTCTTATTATCCATTAATTATTTAGTAATGTAGTTATAGAATACATAATAAAATCAGACAAATATACTTGCTACATTAATGCCAGATTTTGACTAATCTGTAACACCAGTCACAACTTTATAGTTGCATTAGAAGTGATTGGAGTGAAGTGTTGGAGTCAGCCTCCCCACCATCACAGACATCTACACCTCCAGATGCAGGAAGAGGGCCACCTGCATCATGAAGGACCTCACTCACCCAGCACACACACAGTTTGCACCACTCCCCTCAGGAAGGAGGTTGAGGAGCATTAAGTGTAGAACCACTAGACTGAGGAACAGCTTCTACCCTGAGGCTGTTAGACTCATGAATCTCTAACTAGAATAATCACTGTGAAAAATCATATCATGTTGCTGCTGATCTGTTTCATGTTGCTGCTGATCTGTTTCAATGTTGATGTGTTCATGCGTGCTCATCTGCTCACAGATTCATGCTCATGTTTGTGCTGATGTTCAATGTAATATTTTTATGCTATTAGTGCTTAGTGTATATTTAGTTGATGTTTTTCTTAGTTCATATCTTAGATGTTATTACTGTTTTTCTTTAACATTTTATTGTTGGATGTAACTGGGACCCTCTGTACATAATTTCGTTCCACCACATGCACCACATGTGGTGCGAATGACAACTAAATCTCTCTAACTCTGATTCTAAAACATAAAAATCAGTAAATATAGGTAAAAGGAGAACTTTTAGTTTAAATGTAAATGGTAAATGGACTGTATTTACAGTGAGGAAAATAAGTATTTGAACACCCTGCAACTTTGTAAAATCTCCCACTTAGAAATCATGGAGGGGTCTGAAATTTTCATCTTAGGTGCATGTCCACTGTGAGAGACATAATCTAAAAGAAAAATGGAAGTCACAATGTATGATTTTTTAAAATAATTTGTGTGTTATTGCTGCAAATAAATATAATCTGCAAATAAGCAAATAAGTACGTAGATCTATGAACAAACTTTCAAATGCAATAGACAAATTGAAAATGACATGAAAACATGAAAAGCCCCTGGACTGGATGGGATTCCTTTAGATTTTTATAAAATATTTAAAAACAAGCTATTACAACCCCGCTATAATATGTTAATGGAAAGTTATACAATAAGAGAAGTACTCCCCATTGGCCAAAAGGATGGACCAGCACAGAAGATCAACATCATCAGGCCAGGACTCTGCGGCCTACACTCATCTCCAGGCCAGCGGTCACTCTTTCAAGGATGAAGATGTTCACATCCTGGATAGAGAGGAACGATGGTTTGAGAGAGGAGTAAAGGAGGCCATCTTTGTGAAAAGAAATCGTTCATCATTAAACAGGGGCGGAGCCTCGAGGTTCAACTGTCCCCCTCTTACAATGCTGTGATTGCTAGTATCACTCAGCCCTCTGTGAATAGTAAACAGCCATCAGGTGCTAATGATCCATTGTTAGGCTGATGGTCCTTCTTGAGCATGTGATCAGCTGGTTTTGGTTGTCAGCAGCAAACTGGTTGATCCACTCTGCGAAGGTGCTATTTAAGGTGCTATTTCAGACCGCTACAAGAGATCCTTCCTGCTCACAGCCATCAGCATTTATAACAACTAATTAATGAAACCAGGATGATGAGTTACCACAACATTTAATTTCCCTCTGGGATTAGTAAAGTATTTTTGAATTGAATTGAATTATAAGACTGAGCTGAATACAACACCTTTCGGATGAAAGACGAAACGTTTCTACATCTTTTTTTTTGTTTGTTTGTTTTTTGAATGTCCAGAGGACCAGACTTAACATTTTTTATTTTGTTCTACCTGGATTATTGAGCATGCATCAGGATACCCCCCATTGCAAAATTCCATCATAACAGTTCTATTTAAATCCAGGAAATCACCCACAAAATATGAATCCTACAGACCAATTTCACTTATAAATTCCGATGCCAAGATAATAGCAAAGGTTCTGGCATTTAGGCTTGAAACAGTTCTGCCCTCTCTCTCAGACCCAGACCAGAATGGATTTGTGAAAGGGAGGATGGCACATCATGGTATCCGCTGAGTTTTGAATATAATTCATGCAAAATATGAACATCCAGATACAGCTCTGCTATCCCTTGACTCAGAAAAAGCATTCGATAGGGTGGCCCATGATTACCTCTACAAAGTACTTTCCCAATTCGGCTTTGGTAGTTATTTTACAAATTGGATTAAAATAATTTATAATAAACCTACTGCCTCAGTTGTAACTAATAACATTGTATCTGTACCCTTCAATGTAGCTAGAAGCACACGTCAAGGTTGCCCCCTCTTTACCTTCTTTTTTATTCTGGGAATTGAACCATTGGCTATTGCCATAAGGAACGATCAAAATATTACTGGCATCAAAATAAATAATATTGAATCTAAAATTGGTCTATTTGCTGATGACAAAATTTAATGTCCACATTGAAATGCTCAGTCCCTCAACTATTCAAAACTGTTAATGAATTTGGCAATATTTCCAGCTATAAACTTAATGAATCTAAATCCACCATTCTTTTCTTAAAACAGTCTGAAAGAATCAATCCACCTATTCATACAACGTTTCAAGTGGTAAAAGATAGCCTTACTTACTTAGGAATAAAAATTACTCCTACAATAAGTGATCTGGCCCAGGAAAACGTCGGTTACGTACATGCCCACCTGCTGTGTGGGCCCCACCCGATCCGTATAAGTTACGTTAAGAGCAGGTAATCGGCTCCCAAATAGCTTTATTTTTTTCTTCAGCCATTCAGGAGCCAGTGAGGCCCGACGCTTAAAGGGCTACGCCTATACTCATAGAATCTGGGGTTACAGTACGTAACCAACGTTCTATTTCGTATAGGCTTCGCCCTTTAAGGCTGTCGCTGATGGGTTAAGGGCAAAGCGGATGTGGTCCTCGCCTCACTGGGTCCATTCGAACACCGTATGAAGCAGAAGCTTGCCCACAAAAACGTCTTGTCACTCAGCTCCCCATGTGCATAATTACGCATTGCGTAGTTATGTGTGCCATGCACAGACGCATGTTTTGTAACTATGCGTTCTGAAAAACATGAACGCCCCAGAAAATTTCAATGGGGAGGGAAGATGTTGAAAGGGGGGGGGGGGGGGTGCATGAACCAACTGATTCATGGCTGAACAGTATAAACAGATTAATAATAACAAATGAACTGATTATTAATCAAATGAACTGATTGGTAACAATAGTCATGAACTGATTAGTGACAATAGAACCAAAATAACAGACACAACTTGTGACTGATAACATCTCACACTGTGAAGCATGCAGACAGATGTGAGCTTAAGCAGAGTTCCATGAAAACAATAATATTCATTCTGTTAGAGCATTAAGGACAGAATGTGTCATGGAACGAACTGTCACATCACGCAGATAAAAGCGAATGAATGAGCAGGGTGTTGACCATGCGGCCGCAGTGCAAATATCCTGCATTGACATACCATTATGCAAGGCAGTCGAAGATGCGATACCTCTGGTCGAGTGTGCTCTGAGGTTGACAGGAGGCTCTAAATCTGATGCTCTGTAGGCTTCAGAAATGGCCTCACACAGCCAGTGTGACAAACGCTGGGTGGATAATGGGTGACCTGCAGATGCATCTCTATAATGCACAAACGGGTGTTGAGTTTGGCGCATTACGGCTGTGCTCGCTATGTAACACGTCAACGCCCGCACCGGACAGAGAAGATGGAAAAATGCTTCTTCTTCTGATCTATGGGGGGGAGGGAAAAACCCCTCCAATGATATCGCTCTTGATTTAAAAGAGCTCGTGATGTTTTTAGGCATAAAGGCTGGGTTTGGTCTTAAATCAGCTGAGCTGCTGTCAGCCTGAATTCTGAGACATGATGGAGCGACAGAGAGGGCAAATAAATCACTCACTCTCTTAACGGATGTTAAAGCCAGCAGCAGGGCAGTTTTAAGAGACAAGAATTTAAGTGGAACCTGATCCAGAGGCTCAAATGGAGCTTTGATCAGGGCTCGCAGGAACAGTATTAAATCCCACTGTGGAGCAAGTGGGCGTGAAACAGGCCTGCGTCTCTGTACACCTTTTAGAAAACGCTTCATCAGCGGATGATTAAAAGCTGTTCTGTCTCCGAACCCTTCGTGGCAGGAAGAGATGGGTGCAGCGTACGTTTTAATCGTGCTGAATGCCAACTTCCTGTCCATCAGCTGTTGTAAAAAAGACAGCACGCCACCTAATGGACATGAGGTGGCCTCTACACCTTTCTCTGTACACCAGCGCTGAAAAGCTGTCCACTTTGATGTGTACAGCGCTGTGGTAGATGCAGCACGTGAATCCTGGATTGCGCGCACTACATCCTGTGGGAGACCCATCCTCTCTAAGCGGAACCGCTCAGCGGCCAGACCACAGGTCCTGGCCTATTTCTGGGTAACTCCCGATCGCTCCTCCTGCCTGGAGGAGAGCATCCTCCCTCCATGGCAGTTTCCACGGGCGCCCTGACAGTAGGCGTTGCAGGACTGGGAACCGTGGTGCGTTCACGCGCTCGGGGGCCACCAGGAGAGCTGTCAATCCCTCCTCCTGAACTCGGTTCAGGAACTGTAAAATCAGCGGAGGTGGAGGAAACGCGTACAGAAGCGTTTTGGGCCATGGGCTGTGAGCAAACGCATCCACCCCCAGCAGTGGTTCGTCTCGCGGGCTCAGAGAAAACCATAGTTGACACTGAGCGTTCTCTTGTGTCGCAAACAGGTCCACAGCTGCTTTGCCAAATTTCTGCCACGTCTGAGTCATCAGGTCCGGGTGGAGAGTCCAGTCCCCGTGACGTGGACTGCCCCTGGACATCACATCTGCCCCTTTGTTCAGAACACCGGGTATGTAAACTGCTCTGATGGAGTGCAGATTTTGGTGAGCCCAACACAGTAGCTTTCGCGCAATGTGTAACATCTGGGCTGAACGCACACCCCCCTG